CCTTAGGAACCACAGGGAAACAAGTCCCCACATATCACCTGAGAGAGCAATGGAGCAACACCTTCCTTCCCACGTGAATTCCATATTGAGACAGGCAGCAACCGGCTCCTGACGGACACCTTGGCTCGTCTCCGAGGGCTCGGGATGAGCAGTGCTGGACACCCACCAGCACAGGGAAATGTGCACTGGAAAAGGCCATTTGGAATTAAATATGTCTTACAGCCCAGCAGTAATGAGAGCTGATTAGGAGAATGCCTTGGATTCAGGCAAGTTTATTGGAGAAGCTGCTATCCAGGATCCACGTGCTGCGCTCCCTGCGGGAACACAGCCGGCCTTGCTGCTGCTCTTCCCAGTCAGTGCTTGATATGCATCTTTACAGCACTTGAAGCAGCTGCAGAGAGTGGAAAATGCCCCAAAATTAGGGATATGACGGCACCTGCGTGGAAGGCAAAGGGATGTTCATCCCACAGGCTCCGCTTTAGCCGGGAACCACGGGAACCACGGGAACCACGGGAACCACATCCTCGCCTGGACACGCTTATCTTGCTTCTGCTTCGGGTTCTCTGTGGGTTTAGAGTGGGTTTTTTTATTTAAATTTGGCTTTTCTAGTTTAAATATCAGGCCCAGGGCTGCTGCAGGCTCTGGAGAGCCGCCACATGCCTGAATTTCCAGGATCCATATCAGTGCTCCACAGTCCTTGCTCACAGTGTTTAACACCCTTCAAGCATTTGAAGTGGAGAAACAGTGCTGTCACCCAATGGGATGAGCTAAAATGGGAATGCACAGGGGAGAATCCCAAGTTATGCCAAAAATAAAAGTTTAAAATGTGCTAAAAATGTTTTCTCCCCACGTTTTGCCTTTGCCTCCAGCTCCCCGCAAAGAACAGGCACAGGAATCCAGGGAGAAAACATGCAAACCTTCCCTGTCCTTTTGGAATTATCCATTTCCTTCTGCCACTTTGTATTATGGGGCCAGAAATGTCAGGAACAGGTGAACCAGCCTGATTTTCCTTTCCTTAGGCAATCCCATGGTAGGGAAAGCGGGTTGGAATTCCCTCAGCCACGGCTTCAGAAACAGGAGCACAACCCTCCCCGTGCTGCCAAATTCCCTAGTGGCTCATCCAGCAAAGCAGATGACCAGGAGACACTAAAAAAAATTGGGAATAACAGGGAATTCAGCAGAGGGATTTCAGCAGGGAATTTTTTTGCAGGGTTTTTTTTTCTGCCAGGGCCCCCCAAACCAGCTTTGTCTCAGATCATCATCAGGCAAATCCCCACTCCGAGCTCAAAATCCCAGCCCCGGCATCTCTGGAGTGTTTGGCTGGAGAAATCCCAGAGTTTATTTGTGTGGTCAGAGGGGTGTGGGCTCTAGCCAGGTGTCCTGGTGCCATTCCAACATTAATATCCCTAAATCTCCCTCTGAAATTAAAGGGAGGGAGTGTGGGCTGTGGTTTTACGCCTGTCCTCTCCTTCACCTTCCCCCCCTGCTATGGCATAACTCCTGCAGAACTGCTCGTTGGAGAATATCCCTCATCCCAACAGTGGGAGGAGGGACAGCAGCTCATTTAATTCCCTGGTTTTCCTGAATGCACTCCATCTGCAAGGAGAGGTTGTTCCACGCCACGTTCCCAGCACCAGACCACCCAGTACAACCCAGTCAGCAGGTTCAAGGCACTGTGTTGTTTGTAATTGAATAATGAAAATAATAAATAAATTTTTTCCATTAAATAGTATTAGTATTAGGATTATTTAAATAACAATAATAAACCCCCACTCCTAACAACAAAGTAAGAGACAAAACATCCCTTGGGGTGAGGATTTCCTTCCCGGGAGGCTTCCCAGGATGGTTGTCCTGTTCCCATAAGCGTCTGAGGAGCTTTTCCTTCTCTCGTGCCAGCAAATCTGTGCAGACAAAGAGCCAGCTTTATTTGTCATGATTTCCCAGTTTTCCAGGTGGCCCTGCTGCTGCCCCCAGGTTGCCTATGAGAGCCTAACGTTCCAGCTGTGGTCCACTCCTTCCACTTCCAGGAGGGAAAAGCTTGGGAAGAGTGTGCTCCGTGTATAATCCAAAGGAATTTAAAAGCACGCTTAGGATGTGCCTGCTGGTGTTCAGTGGGATTTCTCCTCCCTGAATTCCCAGTGACTGTATTCAAATGGAAAGGGAGAGACGGTGTTTGGAATTCCTGGGTTCAAACACGCAGCAGGGTGGGAAATGGGCTGGAGAAAGGGGATAAAACCCAGATGGATTTGGGAACACGGGGACCGTGTCCTTACTTGACTTCCAGCATCACCCACATGGGAGCCACTCAGAACACCCAGAGCAGCTCCCTCCCACCTGGCAGAGACCCCAAACACCAGCAAAGGTCCACACACAGCTCGGGTTTAATCTGGGAGAGATACGGAATTCCTGGGTTTGATAAGGAGGTTTAGCCTGGGACCTGCTCCAGTGTTGGAGAAAAGCTAATAAAGCTGCAGGGAGGGTCCTTGGACACACAGTGCCAGGGTGGAAAATGCCAGCCCAGGCTTGGAACAAACCCCTCCTGCCGTGAAAGGGAGTGAGATACCTGGAAGGGACGGGATATTTGGGGTGGGCACTGCTCCTTCCTTCCCTCACTCCCTGTTTCCTTCTTTCCGGCTGGGTGTTCACCCACTCCATCAAAAAAACCACAGAATGGATTGGGTTGGAAAGGACCTTGAGGATCATCCCATTCCAAGGACACCTTCCATATATATATAATATGAGTCACAGATTTCCTCCACGACTCACACGTTTCCCCTAAGGACAGGGTTTGCCTGAGGAATAAAGTGGCTGTGCTGCATTCCCCCCATAACAACGGTGAAAACCTAAATAAAACAAACGTCCTGCTCCTGGTATTTGGCATTTCATTCCCACTTACAGCCCTGCTAATTCCTCCTTCTTAGCGAGGGGCTCCCAAACCGGCCACGGGGCATCCGCCTCCCGAAACATTCAGCTGGGAAATGCCCCTGACGGCTTTGAAAAGCACACGATAAAAACCCTAACATCCAACAGGGCACCTTTGGCATTAGCAGGGGGGACAACCCCGCTCCACGCTGCCCAAACTCCCAAAATTTCACGGATTAAAGCGCTGCCCCATCCCGAGTGCCCTTCCCAGGGCTGCCAGGCTGCCCAGCGCTCCGTGGCCTTGGAGATGTCTCCGGAGGAAACCCAGTTCCTCCTATTCTTCTCCGTGGGCTGCTGGCGCAGGTGTCCCCCCCTCCGGCCCCATTGTCCCTCATCCCAGCCCTCGGGATCTGCTGATGTCACACTCACAGAACACGTTTCCTCCTTCAGCCTCGCAGCAGCAGTTTTTTTAACCAGTGTCCCCTCGTCGAGCCGATTCTTAAATTGTTTTTTAATTGAATTCCGCTTTATTCTGAGCCCCGCGTGCCCTCCGGCAGGAATTCTGCTCTCCACGAGATAATTTGGATTTGATTATCAAGCTTGTTCAGCCAAGAAACAAACCCCTTCTTAAGTCGTGAGCCACGGCTTTGATTCTCGAACCATCAGGCCGAGAAGGAAATTTAAAGAGCGTGGCGTATTTATTAAAAATAAAAGAAGCTCAATGTGTTTTTAACTCACAGAAAACCTCCCTCTTGCCAAAGCTGTGGGTAAAAAATACTGGCACAAGTTTTGCAGACGGGGATCTCACCAAAAAGCGATGGGGAGGGGGAGATTTCCTGTCCACAGAACTGTTTGTAAACAGGGATATTAAAATATTTATTGGGGAGAAAAATATAGTAAAGCTGCTGGCAAAGGTTTTTAGCTTCATTTTTGCAAATTAAAAGACACCACGGTCTTGAAAAAAGAAGTTCTTCCCTGGGACAGGAGCCCTGACTTCCTACACATCCTAATGGAGCAATTTTTTAATTACCCTGGAATGACCTCTTGGGTCCGCACCCAGAAATTATATTTAAGTATTTTGGGGGTTTTTCATAAGCCCAAGTTGGGAACATCCAGAGGAATTACAGTTAAAAAATGGGCATTTTTTTTTTCTTCGTGGAATGGAGAAAAAATGGACCAAAAAAAAAAAGGCTGAATTGGTTTGTTGAAGCAATTTGTTGGCTGAGACTTGTGGGACCAGCTGGAAAGGGAAAACACGAGCCGTGTTTTTATAACAGTCCTGGGCTGGCAGCGAGGAAATGCTTTTGTGTTGAGCTCTCTTATTCCTTCCAAGGCAAAAAAAATTCCCCCCCCAACCCACCTTTCTAATATTCTGAATAAAATCAAGTTGAAATGGCAGCAGGGTGGTTTTTTTCCTCCCGCTGCAGCTTTTTGGGGTGGCTGCTGACCCAAAATTCTCTGGTTTTGGAGTGCTAGGTGTGGATCTCTGGACCTTTGCTCAGACAGGGGATGCCAGGAGACATCCCAGCAACCAGGGCTGTCCCGGGAATGCTGTACATGGACAGGTCTGGGGAATAATGACAGAAATCTGCAGTGTTTAGTAGTGGGATTTTTGGCAGCTTTTCTGTTTAGGAGGGAAGCGAACGAGGGGGTTCCTCATTTTGCTTTCTCTGGTTACTGAGCCAACTCCGCACACAAAACCCAGATAAACCAACAAATCCTGGAATGAGCAGGGAATTCATGGCTGTGATGGGTGCCTGCCAAGCAGGAAAGGATACAACAGACTCCCAGGTCAAGGGGTTAAAGTCTGAACGAGCTGCTGCCAGAGGGAAGCTCCTGGAGAAGCTCCTAGGGATGCAGCAGGGCGCGTGGACCATCAGGGATGAGCTATTTTTAAACCCATTTTGGTCACTTGTTATCCCTCCTTCTGCTTTTCCAGTGACTGGCATCGCTTGACACGTGTCATCAAAGCATCTGCCAGCTCACCTTCATCCCAGGGTCTCCCAGCAGCCAGTGGGAAGCTCCAGGAGCACCGTGGCTGGAGACACCATCCTGCCTTCCTCCTGCCACGAGTGATCAGGGAGGTGTTAATGGAGCATCCTGGCATCAAGGCCAGGTTGGACAGGGCTTGGAGCAGCCTGGGGTGGTGGAAAGTGTCCTTGCCCACGGCAGGGGGTGGGACTGGGTGAGCTTTAAGGTCCCTTCTGGCCCAAACCATTGTGGGATTCTGCGATCCACCCTCGCCCACGTGATGCCAACACCGACCAGGGTTTGCTCAGAGCGGCATCAGAGCTCGGCTCTGTCCTGGCAGCCCGGACCTTCCCACGACCCAGCTCCTATTCCAAGGGCTTGTCCATCTATTTAAAGCACACGGAGAAGGGGAAAAATGCACTGGAAGCGTCGCGCGTGCGCGGGGGGAGACGGCGCCAAATATTCCGTCTGCTTTGGAGGCCGATGGCCAGGGATCCCACGGCTCCTCAGTTCGGTTGTTTTCCTTCCCCGTTTTAGCAAGACGTGCCTGCAAACTCTCGGACCCTATTAGGGGTTAGAAAACCGTCTGCTGGGTTGAGGGAGTAAATCGAGCCCTTGAAAAACAGCAGCAAAAAAAAAAAAAAAAAAAAGGCAGGAGCGGGGCGAGTTTTTCCCGTAGAAAAGCGTCACCAGCCAGAGCAGCCGAAACTTTGGGATGGGAGCTCGGAGCCGGCCGTGCCGGGGGGAAGGGGAAGACAGCGAGGGACCAACAAGCAACCGGGAGCCGAACCACGCTACAGGAAGCCGTGGCCTCCGGTGATAAATAGGAGACCCGGGAGCACAGGATGCGCGTAGGGCGAGCTCGGCGGGACGAGGGGATGTGAGCCGGCGTTGCCGAGTCCCTGTGTCCGTGTGTCCGTCCATCCAGCCGGAGGGATGGCTGTGGCCCGGCTGCTGCTGCTGCTGCTGCTGCTGGCGCTGGCGGTGCCGGGCTCTGGCGGGGAGGAGGCGGAGGTGGTGTGCGCCGACAGCGCCTGCTACACCCTGCACCGGGATGAGCTGGACTGGAAGGGCGCCCAGGAGCGCTGCCGGCACAACGGCGGGAACCTGGCCAGCGTGGGCAGCCCCGGCGAGGCCGCGCGGCTGCGGGAGCTGCTGGAGGCGGCCGGGGGGCACGGCCCGGCCTGGATCGGGCTGTGGCTGCAGCGGGGGCACTGCGTCCAGCCGCAGGAGCCGCTGCGGGGATTCTCCTGGGTGGCCGGAGGGACGCCCGGCAACTTCTCGGCGTGGGCGTCGGAGCCGTCGATGACCTGCACGAGCGCCCGCTGCGCCAGCCTGCGGCCCCACGGCCCCCACGGCCCCGCCGGCTGGGCCGACCGGCCCTGCCGCCTCCCGCTGCCCGCCTTCCTCTGCAAGTTCAGCTTCCAGGGAATGTGCGGCCTCCTGCCGCTGGCCGGGCCCGGCCGGGTCACCTACGGCACCCCCTTCGGGGTGCGCAGCTCCCGGTTGGCGGCCGCGCCCTTCGGCACCTTGGCAGAGGTGGATTGCGAGGGGGGCCAGAGACCGGCCTTCGCCCTCTGCAAGGGGACGCTGGACGGGGGGGGCTTCGCCTGGGACCCCCCCGGGCCCCTGTGCCCCGTGGCCTGCGCCCACCGCAACGGGGGCTGCCAGCACCGCTGCCTGGAGGTGCCGGGGGAGCCCCCGCGCTGCTCCTGCCACGCCGGCTACTCCCTGGCCGCCGACATGGCCTCCTGCGTGCCCGAGGATTCCTGCCATCCCAACCCCTGCCAGGGCACCTGCCGGGCCCATCCCGGTGGCTTCGAGTGCGGCTGTGAGGCTGGATACACCCTGGCCCCCGACGGCCGGAGCTGCCTGGATGTGGATGAGTGTCTGTCCGGGCCGTGCCAGCACCAGTGCCACAACACTCCCGGGGGCTTCGCATGCCTGTGCCCGCCCGGCTACCGCCCGGCGGGGCCGGGTGGCCGCCTCTGCCACGACCTGGACGAGTGTGCCCAGCCCGGCGTGTGCCCGCAGCTCTGCATCAACGTCCCCGGCTCCTTCCGCTGCGCCTGCCGGCCCGGCTACCAGCGCCAGCCGGGCGGGGATTCCTGCCTGGATGTGGATGAGTGCCTGCGGGATCCCTGCCCCGGGCCCTGCCGCAACTTGCCCGGGGGCTACGAGTGCGTGTGCCCGCCCGGCTTCCTGCCGGAGGAGGAGGGACGCGGCTGCCGCGCCGCAGCCACCGCCGGAGAGGAGCCCGCGGAGGAGGTCCCCGACGGCCCGCCGGGCACCGCGAGCATCCCAGCGAGCACGGGCGCCTCGTGGACCGCGAGAACCCCGCGGAGCACGGGCGCCCCGCGGACCACGAGCATCCCGCGGACTCTGGGAGTGCCCGCCGGGGTGACGCCGGGGGCCCCCACGGCGGAGGGAGCGGCCCCCGGCCCCGACGAGCACAGCGCCGACGGCCCGCGGCTGCTCCTCTATTACATCCTGGGAAGCCTGGTGGCCATCCTGCTCCTGCTGGCCTTCGCCCTGGCCCTCGTGGCTTGCAGGAGGAGGGCCGCCAAGAAGGAGAAGCGGCCGGCCAAGAGCGCGGCGGATAATTATTGCTGGGTGCCCGAGCAGCCCGAGAGCCGCGGGCAGGGCGGGGAGCGCAGGTAGGAGGGAGGTGGGGAGCGCGGGGGGGTCGAAAGTGGAAATAAAAGGGAGGGGGGATGATGTTTGTTCGGGGTGCGTCTGTGCGGTGCGGTCCTGCCGCTCCAAGGGAAGAGTTAACCAGGGGGAGGAGGAATGGGGTGGGATTTGCCTGCCAGGCAAATCCCTCGATTCTTCGGGACCTCGCCGTGCTCCAAAAAGGCAAATTAACAGCTATGGTTCGGACTCCTAAAGGAAAACAGTTCGTTTCGAGTTCTCCTGCAGCCCTTCCCCACCCTGTCCTTTGCCATCCCCAAAGCATTGCTCTCCCCCCACCTTCCACTCACGACTGCATTCCACCCTTGGATTTGCTTTGTTCTCTTGGAAAAGGGCTTGAAATTCGGATGTGTCTCACCGGGGTGAGAACTGGCCCCTGCAGACACAAGCAGGGTGGGCTCGAACGTTTTATTTTGGGGGTTTTTATTAAAAATCTGTCACCTCAGCACTGGGAAAACTGCTCAGCGAGGGGCCAAGGCAGCACCTGTACTGGAAAAAAAGGTAGGAAAAGCTGTGTTTGGAAGAGCCACCTACCCATTTCCAGTGTATCCTGCCTAAATCCACTTGCAAAATACAGCAAACAATGCTCTCCTTCGCAGCAACCGGATGGGAGGCCGGACTTTTCCTGTTGGATCATTCTTTTTGGGTAGGATCCCTTCCCTGGCTGCTCGGGCTCCGGGCTGAGCGTGTTTTCCCTCCCTCCCCGTGTAAGGAACGCGCTGGATGTTGGATATTTGCTCTTTGTTATGCGTCAAACTTGTAACTCCACCACAGCAAATGCTTTCTCAGGGCAAAGGTGCTCCCCAGGTACTTCCCCAGCTTCACGGAGCCCCTCCTGACAACGAAGCCGTTTCATCAGGAATCCTTCCCAAAATCCCGAGGGGCGCAGGGACCTGCTTCCCATCCCATCCCAGCAGTGTTCCATCCTGGTTTATCCGCGCTCTGTGGGGGCAAAAAGGTGCTAGAAAAGAACAGACATGTGATTTTAAGGGTACAGCAGCTTCCTGAAGTTTCTGCTGGGTTCATTGTCCTTGAGGCTTAATTGCTCCAGGAGTGGGAATTGAACACAAAGGAGTTTGCAGTAGGCAGCGACCTGCATCCTGTTCTTCCAAGCATGGAGGAAAACCCTTTCCTGCTGTTATTTTTTTCGTCTTTGGGGCTCCATTGTGAGATGAAAACACAGCACAGGAAAATGTAGCTGATAGGAATGTTTCCATGTTCTGTCTGCTCTTTCTTTTCTCTGCACGGGCGGCTGGAGAAGGGGGAGAAGGCAGCAGTGGGATTCTTAGAAACCCTACAGAAAATTCCTCCCCTGCCTGTGTTCTCCAAGCCAGGCACCGAACAAATTAGGCAGATTAATTACCCCGTCAAAATCAGGGGGACAGCCAACATACATCAAGTTATGCCGACTCGGGATCTGTGGGAAAAGACAGCCTTAATTTTTATTAAGGTGTCCACGAACTGTTGGCTGTAACAGTATAAACAAGAGAAAGGGAAGCATAAGGGTGAGACCAGAGCTGGTACATTTACTCCAGAAAAAATGGTAATCCTGATTCCTGTTACAACCTTTGTGTATTCCAGTGGAATACAGAGGTGGGTCCGGCCTTGGGAAGACACTGATTTGTGCTGGGCTTTAGTCTGGGTTCTCTCTGGTGGGCTATTCCCTGATGTGCAATTCCACCTGGATAATCTCACGGCTCCCTTTCTTCCTGCCACAAACCCAGCAGGACCATTTTGGATCCGTGTGCTCCTTAGGGAGTTGTCCAGGGACCAGTGAATCCCATGGGAAAAGCTAATAGGAGTGGGACTGGACAGTTTGGGGCCCTGTCTTACAGAGGATGCAGGACATTCATCCTGGTCCAAGGTTTTTTTTTCCTCATGGAGATGAGTGTTTTATTTTCCTGGGCCAGAATTAACTTGGACTCAAAGGATAAGGTTTTCCCACCTGTGGAATAAGGCTGTAAGTTGCTTTCTGGATGAAACACCAATAAAACCTGAACAGAAAGTGTCTTCAGTGCTTTTTAATAAATATATTCATAGAAATCTGTTGGCTTGGTACTTGGAATCCTTGTGTTTCCCACAGCAGTGGATGGTGCTCCCAAATCCTCTGCCAGGGCTCATCCCACATGGAGTCTCAGCCTTTCCCAGGCTCTGCAGTCCTGGGCGAGGCCTTTCCCTTCATCCCTACCAAGGCCACGGTGTGGGGGCACTGGGATGGGATCCTTGGTTGGATCCTAAACCCATGAGCAACTTCCTAAGACCACGAGGAAAGTCCCAAACCCATGAGCAAGTTCCTAAAACCATGAGGAAGGTCCCAAGCCCACAAGCAAGGACCTAAACCCATAAGCAAGGTCCTAATCCCATGACCAAGTTCCTAAAACCACAAGCAAGGTCCTAATCCCATGACCAAGGTCCTAAAACCACAAGCAAGGTCCTAATCCCATGACCAAGGTCCTAATTCTACGATC